AAGACTCAAATATATATATATATGTTTATCTTATGACTTGAAATAAAACGTGTTTAGTATATTAAAATATAAATCAATGTATTTTAAAAACGCACAAAATATCTGAAAGAGCTTTTGAGTGTTTTTAATAAAAAGTTCATTGATTTTTAGTAATAAAAATTTAAATATGTGAAAAAAAAACACTAAACTTTACTTTTTTTTATATTTATACCACCCAAATCCTTTATATCACATCAAAAATACCCACCATTTTAAATTTTAAATGATGAAATACATCATTTCAAGCATAGGTAAGGTTGCATGCATGTAAAAACATGTAAATAGATAGAAAATAAGTGGTACATATGTAAATTCTCCTTTTTTAAATATAAAATAAAAATTATCTAAGGCATGCACTAAGTTATCAATGATCCGGAGTTTGAATCACTTACAAAACTGTCACATGTACCTGATCTATAACAAGAACAGAAAGATCCTTCATGATCTGGGCAAGATCATTAACAGATTCTACGACCTGGAATGAATGACTTAATTTTAAATACGAGGTTTATGCAAATATCTATTTACAGACAAAGGAAAGGCATGGAAGATGAGAAATCAGTTACCTGAGCGATCTCTTTCTCCCTCTCTTTTGTGAAAACCTCGCTTTTTTTCAGCTTTGACATCTGGAACTCATCAAAGCCCTGTTTAAAAAATGGGGGGGAAGGGTGGGGAAAATCAAATGAAAAAGCTCAAAAGCATCATTGTAGGTAGAAAAAAATGATATTTATCCGGGAAAATAAATGAAAAAGCTCATAAGCATCGTTGTAGAAAGAAAAAAATGCGAATAAGATGGAGAAGAGCATCAAAATGATCTCATGACTCTTACTCGAGGGTAATTTTAGTCGCAAAATCTATAAAAGTGTCAATTTAGTGCAGACTTCTTTAACAGGGGCAAAAATAGTCCTCTTTGGGGACTATTTCTGCCCATTAAAAAAGAAAAGGGACTAATTTGACAATTTTATTGACTCCGAGACTAAACGACCGCGTGCAATAATCATGGGATTATTTTGACACTTTACTAGAATTAAATGTTTGTAAGACATGCACATCTATGTGGTTCCACATAAGCAGAATCATGTTTCTGCCCGAAGTGGAGAATTAATATTCAATTTTTTAATTGCATGGCAGAAATTTAGAAGGTGAGGAGGAGAAATATGGGGATAATAAGTCAGTACGATAAAGTGGGCAATTTCTGGTGGGTTTTTGTTGTAGCGAAACGATCTGTTGATGTCTATTGTTCATTAGAATACTCTCTCTTTTATGATAGAAAAATGAGTACAATACTCATTAAATATATAAAATTTTCCCAATTTTATATTTTTTTAGAGCATTTACATAAGTACCACACAATACTTTTGTTTTTACATACCTAACACTTAAGCTGTACTTTGCAAACTTATAATATCCTAATCTTTCATATTACATAAAAATACCACCATTATAAATTTTAAAATGTGTAATACACCTTTTCATTTATAGGTAAGGTATGCAGGTAAGGCATGCATATAAAAATTAAAGTTTAGCTGTTGGATATGTAAATATATAAGAATTGGGTGGTCTGGATGTAAAATATTCCTATTTTTTTATGCAAATACTCCCCCTAAAGCTTGCACATACATATCATGTGCTTCCAACGTGTAAACCGAAAGAAAAGTGAAAGACCCTCAACCTTTTATGATAGAATGGCAACTTGATCCAAAGTGGCGGTTGCCTTCTTAAAAAGTATAACATCTCTAATGAAATCACAACAAATCTCTATATGTTTGTTTTTTTGATAGAACACATGGTTGCTGACATTATGGATGGTAATAAAATTATCAGAATATGAAAACATAAGCCGACCAATTGGAAACCAAACTGCCCTGAGAGAGCTCTAATCATGCATACAAACAAGACATTGGACCTCGCATCAACAGTTTGATTCTTACTTTTCCAACGTGACTCGATAATATCATTAGCAAAAACATATCTCAAAATTAACATCTTATCATCAACCAAGCCAACATAATCAGCATCAAGAACGACTATCATATTCAAGTGCTCAAATTTAGTACATAGTAAACATTTTCTATTAGCATTTTTGATAATCCAATAAATCAATTTTTTTACTAAAATAATGAAATACCTAGCCAAATAATAATCAAATAATCAATTTTCTTAGACCTCATTGTCAAAAGTAGTTTTAAGTTTTAATAAAGGTACCAACAAAATTACCACCCAAAAGACCAGTTTCTTGAAGAGGGTGATTAATAGCATGTTGCCTAAAAGAGAGACATATCCATTATTGTTAAAGACAAATTCAACTCCAATAAAATATTATATTTTTAGCATCCAAAATGTTAAGTAACAAAACATTATTGCAAGGAGTCTTACCCCATATATGCAATATTTATAGCTTCCAATGGTTAAGATGTAATCAATAAAAATACTAAGCACAACCAAGCCTCATAGTGTTTACTGTATACCGAACAAAGAATGAAACGTAGTGCTAATGTAAAGGCCAATCCTAGCAAGAACTTTATAAAAATTTTCAAGCCAAGCTTGATGGCTATGCAAGCTCCAACCTAAATGAAACCTTTGGCAGCCAGCCTAGCCGTGTCTAGATTGATAGAGCCATTAGGAGGAAATTTGATGGCGATAACCAATCTATCACGTTGTTTAAAAGGGTGTTTGAGGATTACGACTCAAGGCGTGCCTCGAACTGAGGTAAGCAAAAAAAGCCTCGAGCCTTAAGCCTCAATGTCACCAGTGAGGGTTACGCCTCGGGCTGTCAATTTGGTTTGTTGTTTAACGAGCCGAACACGAACAAATTTTTAAGCTCGAAATATAAACGAGCCGAACACATAAATATTATATATTTATATAATATAAGTTATATAATTAATATAATCTAATATATAAGTCTATCCCTCTTCCAAGTTCCGCCTCTTCTTGTTCCTCTCAAAATCACGGAAGGCGTTCGACCACGAGAGCTTAGCCTCCACTCAAAATCGCGAAAGGGTTTCGGCGGTGAGAGCTTAGGGTGTGCTCTTCCTCTTCCTTTTTCTCTTACTCTTCCGAGACATCTTCCTCTTCAGATTCCTCCAATTTCGAGCCGAACTCGAGCCGGAAAATATTATTCAAGTCGAACACAAACACACCCTTCACGAGCCGATTTCGAACATAAGTCGGTATCGAACGAGTCGAACACGCTCAGGCTCAGCTCGTTTACAGCCCTACTTACGCCTTTTTCGATTGAGGCGTTTGCCTAGGCGATGTTTAAGTCAGCTCCTCGATCAAGTTATGCAAAAAAAAATTATTATTCTATTATTAATAAATATTATATTATATTATATTATATTATATTATATTATATATATTTGATAAAATACCTTTAAAATTTTTAAAAACAATTTAGGTATGATTACTTGATTATATTATTATTTTATTCTTTTATTTTAATTTTATATTAGAGTTCAAATTAATTAATATTAAGAAGAAAAATGTAACGACACCAACAACAACAAGCCTTTATCCCACTAAGTGGGGTAAGCTACATGAATTATTTTTTCCATTGTCTCCTATTGAGTGTCAATTTTCATTTAATTTTAATAAATTAAGATCATTTTTTATACAATATTTCTAAGTCTTTCTAGATCTACCTCTGTCTTTTTTAACATAAGCAGAATCTAAAACATATATTCTCATAACTGGATAATCAGATAGTTGATGTTTAATGTGACCAAACCATTTAAGACGGCTCTCTCTAATTTTGTCTGACATTGGAACTACACCAACACTATCACGGATTCATACATTTTGCATTTTGTATCTAAGTGTAAAGCCACTCATCCACCTAAGGATTCTCATCTCGGCAAAACTTAAATTAATTTTATGCTTCTTTTTTAAATGCCAACATTCTGCGTCATAGAGCATTGCAGGTTTCACTACAATCATATAAAATTTTTCTTTCAATCTAAACGGTACTTTACACAATAAGCCCAAAGCATTCCTCCACTTCGACCAACCAACTTGAATTCTACTAATAACATCTCCATGAATTATGCAGGTCACACCTTTTAATGGTTTGATAACCCATAGTTACAACTCTGTCACTAGAATTACTACTACTAAAATTACATTCCATGTATTCAATTTTAGTTTTACTCAAACGAATGTATTTAGACACCAATGTAGACCTCCATAATTCAAGCTTTTCTGAGCTCTTTCTCTAATCTTATCAACACGAAGGATATCATCAGCGAAAAGCGTACACCAAGGTACATCCTCTTGTAAATGTCCAGTAAGAGCATGCATAACTAAAGCAAAAAGATATGAGCTTAAAGCCCATCCGTGATGCAATCCAACCAAAAAAGAAAAAAAATTATAGTGAATGAAAAATATTTTTAATTTGCAAATGAGATAGATAAAGATGATAATAAATATGATGATATTTTAAAGATGATTAAGCATAAATGATGCCGCTCCACTATTGATCTTGAACCCATGAAATATTATACGTGAATTTTACTTGGAATCACATTTCGGACTTCTATTTTATATTAATATTTAAGATTAAGATTTGTAATTTATGCCTTATGATAATAACTTTAATCAGCATGTCAAATAGTTTATCATAATTATGAATTATTTTTAATTTTATGAGTTTTTTTTTCTTTCTTCAGTCATACACCTCAATCCGTCTCGAGGCATACGCCTCACCTCGTTAGAACAAAGCGTATCTGTTCCTAATTTCGCCTTCTTAAACTTTGATCTATAAACAATTGTTTTAATCCTAGAAGGGAGAACAAATAATCCCATGTGTGGAGACTAAGCAATGCACTCATTTCAATATTCATAGCTTCATTTTATAAAGGATTCCATAGTTCTTCATGATTTGTCCTAGGAAATGTACTGTTACGGGCAGGAAATGCACTAACGAGTAGCTAAATTAGAAACAAAATATCAGAAATGAATGAGAAGGAAACTTAGGTATCATGGTAAATTTAGTTCTAGATAATATGTGAAAAATATGTTAAATATTTGCAAAACTAAGAAAGTGCAATAACTCACGCAAATACGTGACAAGCAAATGTGTCGTTATTTTTAATAACTTTAATTTACATTAATTATGCACCTGATCATATGATTATATTAGAGGAATTATTGGCATAACATCTATTGACAAAACTATCATAATAGGAAGGTAAATTATCAAAAAAAATCATGAGGGAAATGAGACAGGACTTAGATAATATGACAAAAAGTTGTTCAAGATAATATGACAAAAAGTTGTTCAACATAATTGATGATGAACAGACTTGACATCTCGTATAACACACAGGTAATAATTTTTTTAAATCTAAGAATTGGTAAAACCGAACATAAATAGTAGGGATGAGGCTAATGGTTATGATGATGATGTGCAGGATAATGTTTAACAATGAGAAATTTCAACCAACAGAATGATTCCTGACCAAGTTTCACCAAAATAATAACACGAGACAGAAGAAACGAACATACCGTATCAGAGAACTCCTCATCCTCAGGTCTGAACCGACTACCACCGTTTAGATTCATCTCCAAATCAATGCTATCTGAACCCTTGAAAGAGAATGAAGAAATTTTATCAAAATGGAGAGGACGGTTTAAAGAGAAAAAATTGAGAAATCTTTTAGAGCAAAAAATCCATGTTACCTCCTTCTGCTGCCTGAGCCTCTTTAAGTATGACGACTGATGCTTACGGAATTCCATGGAGAGTTTCTGAAGATCAGTTGCTAACGATCTCTGAGGGAGAAATGTTGGTTAGAAACCATCAAACTCTAATTAATTAGATACGGATAAATTTCATAGCTTTTAAATCATTTATATGAAAACCAAAAACCTGGAGAATAAAGAGCCGAGAACAGGGGAAAATAACTAATATGCAGAGAAAACTGTAGATCAACCACACATTTGATTTCGTTCATATAAATTAACCTAGAAAGCTGAATCAAATCAATTTAAAAAATATATATGCAAAATATATAATTTCACATATCAAGAGTTTTTACCTGAACATTTTTTCGAACAACCGAATCTTCCGAAGGGTCACTTGTAGAAAGTTTCTGTAATCTCTTCTCAGATTTCTTTAACAAATCTGTCAACTCCTGAGTAAGAACTTCAATCATATGCTGGTCATCTTTCCCATCTCCAAAAGATGGCATTAGAGCCTTTGCATGTGCCTTTACTAATTGTGACATTTTTGTTTGAGCACGTTGCATGTTTGCAGATATATCCTCAGAAATATCCACCCAAGCCGGTGGTAAACCAAATGTAAGTGCTCCATTACTGCAGAAGGTGTTAGATATATTAAGATTATCCATACTATAACATCTAAACAGCAATGAAATAAATCAGATAATCAGCTTAGGTAGCTAATACTTTTAGATCTTGAACCAATACTCCATATCTAGGTTCATTTGAGTAGGGGAATAAACTTACATTACCTTGTGAATCATAAGTTTCTTTACAACCAGGAGGAAAGTTTGAATCACGGTAACTTAGATAACATTTTCACTATAATATGCTGTTAGTTTTGACAATGTAGGATGATGAGGAATTGAGCTGATCATGAGATTGAAACTTATACGCTTAAGCTCCTTAATTGAAGGAAACTACATCCCTAAAAGCGCCTGATATGGAGATTTAAAGGTTGTAGATGAAAATAGAAGAAATGAAGTCACAGATAAACTAGAGCACAGCAAAAATTGACTATTTTCAAGATGGGCATGTCATAAAACCACCAATGATAAGAGAGAAATGATTATATTAAAGATGAGTAGAAGAGCAACTATTGAAAAAAAAAAGAAAAAAAGAAATAGGAATTCCAAAGAGATAAAAAAGCTCAATATCATAATAGATGGACAATATATATATATAAATATATATAAGAAAGGACATGGAGTATACTAAATGTTGAAATGAATGAAACTATAAAAGATACTCATAAAACTAACGCCAAATTCAACCACCTTCTAAAAATATTTTATATATTTGAGACTTTGGATGAAAGTTTAATACTTTTTATCAGGTAAGTTCTGAGCTCTATTTTATTGGTTTTTATTACCTGTATTTTTTACTAAGATTTGTTTATATTGTGTTTTTCTGATTTTTTTTTAGATATTTTGCTTCTTTGGTTGGATGTTCTTTTTCCAGTCTTTTTTGTAGGCTTTTCATTCCCGTGCCTTCTTGTGGAGATAGATGGCGTTATCAAATTTTTTTGGTTGTTTTCAGTTGATGGAAAAAGGGCTGCTTTCAATTGTTGTTTCTGAATCAATTACAACTTTGTCATAGGCTTTAAGATCTACAAGCTTTAAGGTTAATGTTGATGTTGCTGGTGTTTGTGTTGCTGTTGTTGAAGTTGATGGTGTTGTTGATGCTGGCAGAGTAGACTTGGTGTAGTCTATTATTATTGTTGGCGTTGCTTTTAGTTTGTTTGATTGTGGTGCTTTTAGTGTTTCATTATTTTTCTTTTGAGCGAGTTGTATTCTAAGTTTTCTCGATGTAACTCATTGTTTTCTTCTCAATAAAGTTAGACGTGCTCTCACCTTTTCCCAAAAAAAAATAAAACTAACGACAAATAGTTAGGATAAGACCAATGAAGTTGATATTAATAACATTAAAACAACTAAAATAATAGCATAGGGATCCATATAAAATAATAATGTTGTCACAATCAAACCTTTCCAAAGCAATTTAGTGCGACCCTTTGAGTAGATTAGAAAGCAACATACTCAAATATTCAAGGATGTAAATCATTACCCTCATATTAATCCATAGTGCAAGTCCACCTTTATTAGACTATATCACTTTTCAAATACATTTATTACAAACTAAAACTTCTCATCGTCATTGATTGATCGTTAAGATGATTCATCAGAACAGCATGCATTGAGCATGCAAATATCCAAATATTTTTAAGAAATGAAAAAGAAAAAATCCCAAGGATTTCAATAGGCTTGAGTAAATTTGATTTTTGGCCTAACACAACCCAATTCTTGATAGCATGGCAATTAATGCATTTAAGCACGTAAGGTGAAACTCAATAATTTAAACTTGCATTGATATGTTTATGAATATATGAAACCACAAATGAAAAAAGAAATCCAAGAAATCAGAATCCACCACCAACTTTTGAATTGGTAGAATGTAATAGGGCATCCTTCATTTGATCGAGTAAAGAGTTTTTTTTATGACTGTAGAGCAGTTTAATTTAAAATTAAACAACCTTTATACATGCAAAGATAAATGTGAGAATATACTACTCCACAGCCGCTGGGCTATCTGCCAGAAATGGGCATGGGGTGGTTGGTGAATTCTAGCAAAGAATAAGAAGAAAGAGTTTGAAGAAACCCCGCCAGACCTAACTTGTTCGATCTCAAAAAACAAATAATAATAATAATATCGATATAGGGATCCATATAAAATGATAATGTTGTCACAATCAAACCTTTCCAAAGCAATTTAGTGCGACTCTTTGAGTAGATTAAAAAGCAACATACTTAAATATTCAAGGATGTAAATCATTGCCCTCATATTAATCCATAGTGCAAATCCACCTTTATTAGACTATATCACTTTTCAAAAACATTTATTACAAACTAAAACTTCTCATCGTCATTTATTGATTATTAAGAAGATTCATCAGAACAGCATGCATTGAGCATGCAAATATCCAAATATTTTTAAGAAATGAAAAAGAAAAAATCCCAAGGATTTCAATAGGCTTGAGTAAATTTGATTTTTGGCCTAACACAACCCAATTCTTGCTAGCATGGAAATAAATGCATTTAAGCACGTAAGGTGAAACTCAATATTTTAAACTTGCATTGATATGTTTATGAATATATGAGACCACAAATGAAAACAGAAATCCAAGAAATCAGAATCCGCCACCATCTTTTGAATTGGTAGAATGTAAAAGGGCATCCTTCATTTGATCAAGTAAAGAGTTTTTTTTTTATGGTTGTAGAACATTTTAATTTAAAATGAAACAACCTTTATACAGGCAAAAATAAATGTTAGAATATCCTACTCCACAGCCGCTGGGCTATCTGCCAGAAATAGGCATGTGGTGGTTGGTGAACTCTAGCAAATAATAAGAAGAAATAGTTTGAAGAAACCATGCCAAACCTAACTTGTTGGATCTTAAATAACAAATAATAATAATAATAATAATAATAATGAATTGCCTGATTAAGCTGCTGGGATAATACTTTTATAAAAATCTTTCTCAAGTTTCATTTCTAATGGGAAAAGTTTCATAGTTTAAATTAAGAATTTTAGTACATGTATTGGCATGATGCTAATGCAAGATCTGCATAAAAAATGAATTAATGATAAAATGCTTTGCCGCTATTAAGGATGTGAATTTTTTTCTTGAAATAACTGATGATTTATGATTATGGACATAAAATTGCACACAATAAACAGTGAGTATCATTTCATGTATAACAATGCTATCCAAACTTTTTTAGTCTAAAAATTTACTGTTAGATATGAGAATGACGCAAGAATTGTGACAAGATAAAAAATCCTACTAATATCATAAAAAACTAATCATCAAAATAATCAAAACAATTGATAATAGTGTTCCTCCTTTCTCGTCTACACAGCATTTCTTTCCTTCACAAAGGTTTCCACTTATTACGTTTGAATTTTTTAGATTGACAAAAACATCAATTTAGATAAAGGAAACAAAAACATGTAAGAAACATTAACATAAAAGTTTAAGCAACAGTACCATGCCCAACCCTTCCATGTTTACTCTTAATGCACTCCATAAGCAGCTCTTTAAAGTTAACATAAAAGTTTAAGCAACAGTACCATGCCCAACTCTTCCATGTTTACTCTTAATGCACTCCATAAGCAGTGCTTTAAAGTTTCTCTTTAAAGTTTCTTTATAGGTAATTGGTTAATATTATTTTTAAAAAGCAGCCAAATTAGCTCCAGGATCAAAATCAAATATGACGCATTCAACTCTGATTGACATGCCCAAATCAAAATGTGCTACATGAGCTAATAAGCAAATCATTCTAGCCATATTTTCAAAAAGAGAAGTATCAAAATGGTCCCCTGAATCTTTTTTGAGGGACATTTTAGTCCCATAGTCCATAAAAGCATCAATTTAGTCCCTAGACTCATTTAAAAGAGGCCAAAATAGTTTTCCCTGTGGACTTTTAACCCATATTAAAAGACCATGAGGACTAATTTGACACTTTTATAGAATCTGGGACTAAAATCTCCATGTAAATAGTCAGGGACCATGTTGGCACTTGACTCTATTTTTAAAGTGATCTCAAGCTGGGAATAGATTAGAACAAGGTGGATTAATATTGACTGCACAGACATATCTTTATATGATTGCATTTAAGAGTGTATAGAATTCATAAACAGATGCCACCTATATGCGTGTGCGTGTGTGTGTGTGTATATATATAAATATATGCAAACAACATTGAATCGGTATTTCAAATAAAAGTAATTAAAATCGAGAAGAAATCAATTTGTATCAATCTAGTTCTCAAAATAAATTCAATCCATCCAGCACAATATTGGGATGGCTCAACCCACAAACATTTATTTGTTTCTAGGTATATGTTTAACTTTTTCCTTGAGCGGGGTTCGGATTAGATTGAGATATTTTTCTCACCTCTGCTGTGAAATAAAAAAATTAAAGGAAAACTATTCATTCCATAAAACTAGCAGAAATGCAATCTAATAAATTCCTTTCATTGCACCATAGCTCACTGAATCCTCCAATGTTGAATCTCAGTTACTCCATCCTGAAGAAGCATGTTGAACTTATCAGAATCATCCCAGCTATCCCGCAATTCCCCAACTTCCATCTATTCTATTCTTCAAAGGCTTCAATAGTGGTGCCTCTCACTCCCGCATCTCCATCCATCTGCATACCATGCTTATTCTAAAGCAAGGGCTTAATTATACATTAGATATGGATGATGGAAGGTGCTATAGATTGGAAAGAACTTCTTCAATTTGTCTTAAAAAAAATACATTTCTTTGCAGATCTTGAATAACCATCACTTAAAGCTTGGACAGCCTAAACTCAACAGGGAGAGTGAAGCAGGAGCAATGAGTTTATCAAAGCTAGTAACACTTTAAAATGATAATCCTCTGCATAGAAGTAATCAGATAGCCAACATTTTGACTTCATCTAAGTTACCACAATCAATGTTACAAGCCGAAAGTATTCTTTTAATGGAAAAAGGATATAGCTATATAATCATTACTAAGAAAATGAAATCTAGATTCCTAATAGACCCTATGTAATAAAAATTCACTAGCCTCCCTACATAATCCGTCTGCATATTATGCAGATTAATTGCTCTAACAACAATGGAGGAATGTTTTCACTACTCCCTTTTCTGGCAGTACTGTTGCCAAAAATTGACTGTGGAACTAGCTTCAAAATATATAACCATCGACAGCTAAATTGAACGATTCACATCTCAACTAAAACTATCAATTCCAAAACTTCTTCACACAACCACACCAAAGCCATTTCCCTCGAAAAAAAAACAGCTCAAAATTCGTAAACCAGACGATCTTTCCAATACCAATTGCTTAAAACCTAAGAAACTGCCAGTAAATTCGTAAAAAAAAAAAAAACATTGAGCAATCGGCCTTAATCAGATCCGAAAGGGCCATTCAATTTTTGAAACACAAAATAAATTTGGTGGCAGACCTAGAACTGGCGGGATCCTCCGTGCTGAGAGGAGCATAGGACCGATCCTGTCTCAGAAGGGACGTGCTCACCATCCCGATCACCGGCCCGGTGCCTCTTCCCACGCCGCCGCCTGAGGACGTCGATGGTAACGATGACGCCGGCGAACGCACCTGCCGTAGGGCATCACGGTACTTCCGGTAGATAGGCGTCCGATTCCTCGTCGCCATCAAAACTGAAGGGATGAAAAAAGAGGATGATGGAAACTTTCTAGATTTGTTGATCTGGAGAAATGGAGGAGCAGTGGGGTTGAGAGCGGGGATACTGCTGGTCGCTGGGGGGAGGCCGATATAGAGCTGAGCCTGCTGCTGAAGCAAAATGAGTTCAGATTAAAATTAAATTAAGCATTTACATACATATAAAACATCTAAATTTTAAAATTTACGTTAGCGTTTAAATTTGTAATATTTGATCAAGAATGTCATTACTAATGTTTGAATTCAAATGTTGAATGCAAATTTGTATGAGGATTGCACCTCTAAGGAATTTTAGTGTAAAATAAGAGAAATAGTGCATGATAAAGGTCAGAAATAAATAAATATAATACCATACGATGAATTACACCAGGACTCCTACTTTAATAGGTGTGTTAAGGGCATTATAGGTATTTCACATAAGTGGGCTCGCATAAATGGGCCTAGGGTTCAACTGCTTTCTGATTAGGCTAGTTGAGATTGCAAGACCTCGACTTGGCAAGTCGGCCCGGTAGGCTAGAAAGAGTTATTACCACCAATCGGCTAATTCTAATTGGATCGGGGTCTGCATGATTGATTCAATCAAGCGGTTAGTCTTGATTGGTTTGGGGTCAGCACGCCTAATTCAATCAGCCAGGCTTCGTCGACCAGTCGTTCTGTGATCCATAGTGAGAGATTTATTTCAAAAGAATATTGTTGGGCTATCAACGCAGATGGTGAATCATCATAATCTAATTAGTAGATTTTTGACAAAGAGATCCTAAGAGATGTCTAAAACTTTATAATATTAACTTCTGACAATATTTTAGAGACTGTTAGATGTCCCCAATATAACTGCAAAACCCGAGGGATTAACACCCCCCTGGGGCGGTTCATCGTGGGTTTAGACTATCCTTTGCCCCGTTTCTGGTCGAATCACTTGGGTTTAGTTCACTTGGTTGCCTTCATGACTCAAGAGACATTTCTTATGCTATATCAAGTCAACAATCAGGCCTCTAGAATTCTGCGGTAGGTTATCCCGCGTACATTTCCTATCTTTTGGACCGTCAGATATTCTCAGGATCAATGCTAACACGTTTTCTCCATTCAACCAACTTCTTAAAAGTGATTTTTAAGAATAGTAAAATTTTGAATTTATAAGATTTTTTAAAAATTTTTTATTTAGAAAGTCAATGTAAACTGAGAATTTTTATTTTATTTTCTTAGGATAATAGAAACATTGGTTGGAAATGAATCCAAACTATTGTAGAAGACTTTGTCTCAACAAGATGATTATGAATTTGCTAGATTTATGATTCAGATGATTGTGAATTTAATTCTTAAAGTATTAAATTTGTAGAATGCGTCAAGATTTGTGTTTGATCAAGTGAATTTTTTTTTTTTGATTCATTAGTTATTTGTAAACCAATCTATCATTCATTGTAAATGAATAATTGAGTATAAGAAATTAGCAAGTTTTAAGAAAATGATTACTGAATTTATGTAAGATTTTAATTTATTTAATCGGTATTTTGTGATATTATATAAATATGAATGAATATTTACATATTGAATATATAGGCTTATAGAAATCATATGATATAGAAGTTTTTATGTGAAATACTCGTAAAAAGAAAAAATCACAACGTCTTGCCCAGTTGAAGAGATCAATTATAAATTAAATATTACAAATATAGCCCCTCGTCACACGGCATGAAAATGGTTACAAAGTCTTCTGAGTTACACGTTGATGCACAAAAAAATTTGTCATAAGAAAAAGAGGCGTTCAATAATAATTGACAACGAATCAATTATAAATTAAATATTACAAATATAGCCCCTTGTCACACAGGTATGAAAATGGTTACAAAGTCTTCTGAGTTACAACGTTGATGCACAAAAAAATTTGTCATAAGAAATAGAGGCGTTCAATAATAATTGACAACGAGCAATAATTAGAGGTCGACAATAGTCGGCGGTGGTCGATGGTGATAAAATTGATGTTGAACTTCAACTCATTTTCACAGTTTTAACCTGTTATTCAGGCTTCTAGCTCTCCCTTAGTCCTCAAGTTCTCTCCTCCTATCTCATGAGAGGGGTATAACATTATTTATAGAGTTATGGGTGCAATTAATGCATGAATAAGAACCACTTAAAGTAGACAGTCTGAAGAGTTTAATTTTATTAGATGTAATTTGATGGACATTTGAGTGCTTTAATGATATCGAAAGGGAGCGATATTGAGTCCACTGGATTCATGTTATCTAGACGCTCGATTCTACTATAAGCTTATCAGATTCAACATTCATTTGACCTCCCAACTTTGCTAAAAAAACTACTTTTCAAAAGTAGTTTAATGACCTGATATGTGCTTGATTTGTCTTGAATTATATCAAATTTGGTATCATCAGGTTAGTTTTATGGAGCCAACTAGTTTCTATAAATTTGTTAAAATTGGAGTCCTGATTGACTTTTTATTGAAGTTTTATTGCTTATTATTTAAAAAAAATGCCTTGAAATTCGTGTCATGCTTTGTGATTTATGCCGAATGATGAAAATTTGCCCATAGCATATCACACACAACCATGTAGCCGATGAGTATATAGTATACTACTTTTACTTTACATGCATCTAAATGACATAAAATAGAATTCCTCTGTTTTTATAACTTATGAATATTCATAATTCATTGTAACAGAAACACTCTACAACTATTTTCACTACATTACTTTTTTAGCAAACAAAACAATCCTAAAGTTAAAATAAAAATATTTGACAACTTGTTTATATTTTAAATAAAATAGAAACTTGTTTTCATTGCATTACTTTTTTATGCGAATGTCATTACAAACTTTAAGGATTGTGCTCATTGGATTGGCAAATAACTTTGACAGAACTTGATTAGCTGTGGAAGACAACAACGCCGGAGGCTGACAAATAATGATAATAGTAGAGTAGTTTTTTAAGTTATGGAGATACCATTTATTTTTTAATAATAAATATCACTTTATTAACATATTTTGGCTATGATTATTTTTAAAATGTTTAAAATTTATTTTTAGTATTTAAAAATAATTTATTTTATTAAAAAAATTTAAAACATTATATAAAAACCTAAAAAGGTAAAAATAAAAAATAAAATTGACATCCCATGTGGGCCCACACTTGCTCTAACCACATACAATTTAAGAAATAAAAAAATCTAACCACCGGAAAGATCCATCCCTTTTTCCCCAATGCAAACCGAAGGTTGGGCAAGGAATCTCTGATTAGAGGACCACTTCTGCTCACAGCACGCGGGAGAAAATCCCCGGTTGCTCGATCCTTTTAATTGCAGAGTCAGCCGAGGTCGAGCGCAAGCGATCGAGTGTGAGATATCGAAGAGAGGGAACGATACGATCGGCCATGAGCCTCTTCGGTCTCGGAAGGTAAGCCTTCGATCATCATCTCATCTCGATTCTCCCCAGTATGCCTTGTGAACTTCTCACTACCTAACATCTGAATCGCCAGTTTTTTTTTCTTCTTCTTCTTTTCTATTCTTGATTTTCCATGGCGGCGATGTTTATTTTTTTGACTTTCGGTTGTTTTATTGCTGTTTTTTTTTTCTATCTATCAATCAAACTATCCGCCGACTTATCTGGAAATTATGGTCTGATCATGATTTTGATCTGTTTGGTTTTTGAACGGAGTGAAGACGGGTAGATGCTGTTCTGATATCATTTGAAAGTTGTACTAAAGTTTAAGTTTGCTGTTCGATGAATTTTTATAGTTCTGCCTTGGAAAAAAATGTTGCTGCAGGTGATCGGGCCGCAAATTTAGGTTAAGTTAGTAGTTATATCTGTTGTTTTTTAATATGAATTTGTTTGATGATGATTTGAATGAGAGGAAACGAGTTTTTCTTAGGAAGCGTTTACTCCTACTTTTAAACTTGAATAGACGCTTTATTTTTGTCCAGGGTTTTAGTTTTTTTTTTTCCCCCGGCAAACAAACCATATCGATCACTTATTATCTTGTTATTTTTTCTACGCTCCTTCAGCATTTTAATCGAATACATGGGGGTTGTTTTAACCCTGCTACCAGAGATATAGCGATATGTTTCAATTGGACGCAAGTTAGGCTTAGGTTATGCTAAATTGAATCTCTGGCTGTCTTGGTCCTGATTGCGTCAAAGAAGGTGAGCTTAATCATAGGGCCAAGACATGTATATTCCCTGGCTATGCACGTGGGTGAAGTGATACTGGCTTTGGTGATTGTATGACCGTGACCTGGTTTGATTTTTAGCCTCGAGAACTTGGCTCATATAAGGAGAAGCATGGACTAACGCAGGGTTACACAATGTGATATTGCTATATGTTTATGTGAAAATACTCAGTCAAGTTGCAGGTATGCATTTTCTTGTGTCAAATCTTTTTAAATCATCATAAGGAGTCTTTAAATGTATCCACTATGTTGTTTTTCTGGTTAATGCGGACCATCAAGTAATGGGTAATCTGTTCAATATTCTCGTTCTTATCTTGTGTTCTACTTATAGAGCACATTTATTTATGGAACTTAATTATATCAAATTTTTTAGGCGGCAAGCTAAGCACTAAAAGCTTTTGCAATTTTGATGCACAAAAAGAAAAAAAATGAAGAGTTTGTTCACTTTATGCACAGCCGGTATTATTTTTTCGAAACAATCTTAGAAACTTAAATAATTATAACCAACAACTCAAGAGATTAATCCATGTTTATTATTGAAAAAATAGGTTATGCACGTAATTTAATATATAAGGGCAAGTTTCAAGCTTGAAATTACATCCAATTTCACATTGCATTATGGTTAGCCTTTAGCTTTACCTTGGTGGTACACTTGCTATTAAATAAATTCAATCCGTGTCTTTGAGGTGAATAAATTGACTAAGTATTTAACACAGTGTTTATACGAAATGCATGCTCTTCGATGCTTCAAATCAAATTTTTGGGTCTTTGTGGTTTTTTTTAGTTATGTAAGTGTTCCCACCACGTTCAAAAGGGCCACACATTTTTGTGCAACTGACATATCTGAGTTTAGTTTTCTAGCATGGTGAAACTGTTGTTATGATATTTAGCTTTATTAAGAAGGGAAAAAAAAGGAATGAAGTTTTGCAAGCTAATAAAAGATATGCTTTCTTATATTTACCACTAGCAAATAAGCGTGTGTAGATAATGTGTATATGAAGGTAACCAAAAAAAAAGTGTCATTCGGCGTGTAGCTCAATGGTATTTCTCCTTAACTCCGATGTGAAGGCGATGCAAGATCACAGAATCAACTATTCCTTTTCTGGCAACATTTTGTTATTCCATAACCATTTGTTATTGTAATAAGGCTGTTTTTTTTTTTAATTGTGTGTGCATGGGCACTCACACGTGTATATTATGATTTTGGATGTAATGGTTGTACATTGTCCTCTAAGGAATAAATAATTTTTTCCCTTGTTGTTTTATTTGCTATCCATCTTTTGGCTTCTACACTAGTGTGATATTAGAGAAGACAACTTGGAGCAATGGAGGTAGTAAGCATCAAGCTATCGATAAAGATTGGAGGTTGGAAGTACTATGCGCTGCCAAAGGATGGATGAGTTCACTATTAAGTATCTCCAATTCATTGTTCATATTGTGATAGGTATTTTGAAACTCATGACAAGTGGTTTCTCAAATATAGCCTTCAAACAATGGGTCTGACATTGGCATCCTACGATGTTGCTGCAGTAAATTATTTCCCTACAACACTTACTATTAGTATTGAAAGTAATTGCTCAAAAATCATTTATATTCACGAAAGACTTGGGCCTTTATAGAGCCTTACAACTTTTTTTACAAATAAAATTCTTGACTTCTTCTATATGTCTTTTTTACAAATAAGACCTTAAACTATATACAATTCTCAATTCTCTCCCTCAAGATGGGCAACAAATCTCCACTAAGCTCTTCTTGTCACACAACGTAGATAGATCTAATGAGCTAAGTTATTTGTCGAGGCAGTCAGCTACTTGCTCTCTAGTAACTACATGATTTTGTCTCCAATAATCCACTATTCAGTTACTCCTTGATGAAGAACTTATCAATCTTCACATGCTTGATTCCGCCGTGTTACACTGGGCTATTGGCAATGCTGATTGCTGACTTGTTGTTGCACTACAACTTCATTTGAGCTTTTTGGTCCACCTTGATTTCTACCAATAGAGCTTCCAGTCATAACATCTTAGCAACCCCCAAGGCAAAGGTCTTGTACTCTGCCGCTACTGTCAAACTCACAATTACCGAATGCTTCTTGCTCTTCCAAGAGACCGAATTCTCTCTCCAAATGTTACTCTACACCGAGAAGGAGACAAGAGTAAGCAATTCGACCAATAAAATTCTCAGAGAAATTGTAAAGCGACGCTCAAATAGCCATGGAAAGTAAATTAATTAAAAAACATTGAAATAAATAGAAGAACAATGCTCATATATATTTCATTCCATTGCTTCTACTGATTGATTAGAATAGGTAAGGATGTTGCTAACTTATCTATCTTGTAAATTTCAAATATGCATCAAAACATATGTAATTACATTTTATAAAAGTCTCAGAAAAATTTAAAAATGAAGCAGTGCTCAATATTCTTCCCCCAAATGTTACTCTTTACTGAAGAGGAGACAGGAGCAAGCAAATCGACCAAGTAAATTAATGCATGCTTATGTAGTAGAAGTACACGAAAAATTCTTAAAAAAAAAACAGATATACAGTGCTCATATTTATTTCATTCAATATCTTTTATTAGTTGATCAGGATAGGAATAAATGTTGTTAACTTATCTATCATATAAAGTTCAACTTTGTATCAAAACATATGCAATTCCATTTATAAAGGTATATAAGAAAATATTTAAAAAATAGATGAACAATGCTCATATATATATTTCATTCCATAGTTTCTATTGGTTGATCATAATAGGTATAGATACTGCTGGCTTATCTATCATGCAAACTACAACTTTGCATGAAAAACATATGCAATTTCATTTGTAAAATACCCACATAATATAAAAAAAATATTTCTTAAATAAACAAATGAAGAATGATCATAAATATTTTACTCCATGTTTTCTACTGGTTGATTAGGACAAGTATACACGTTGAATGATTGTTGTGTTTCTATCATGCAAACTTCAATTTTGCATCACCATATATGCAATCCCATTTATAAAACTATCTCATATACTAAAAAAGGTAAGCAACGCTCAACATTCTTCTACTAGAATGTTACTCAACTCTGTATAGGAGGCAAATACAAGCAAATTGACCAACTAATATCAGTGAAAGCATATGTAAAACAAGTCTACAAAGAACTCTTAAAGAAACAAATGTAAAATGCTCATATATTTTTCATTCCATTGTTCTACTATTTGATCAAGATTAGTATAAATGTTGTTAAGTTATATATCTTGCAAATTTCAAATTTGCATCAAAGCATATGCAATATAAAAAGAAAAATTGAATAGGTGCTTAGAAATCTCCCTGCAAAATGTTCATCTACACATGCATGGGAAAGAGCAAACTAATCGACCATCAAATATGCAAAACAAAAATACAAAAATCTTCACAGAAGAAACAAAGAGATACACAAAGGCAGACAACAAATAAACCGCAAAAAAAAAATCTATAAAGGAGAAAGCTTCACCTAAGGTAGGCATCAAGTCGACGACGCCAACCGCAGAGGGAGGGGAGCGGAACCAGATTTCGACCCTAACGACACATGCGACAAAGGAGGAGAGCGGCGAGGGGTATATGCGAGGATAGGGGAGCGAGATTACTGGAAATTCGAAGGCCTGGTGACGTCTTTAACACTTTGCAACGGAGCTCCAACAACAGAATGCCCTCTCTCCTTTCTGTTTCAACGTCCGACTGAATGCGGCCCCTGATCCGCGAAACACTCGAATAAATAAGGTTCACAAACTTAGAAGTCGCAAAATTAGGTCAGAAACGAGGCCTAATGGTCTGTTTGGGGCAGCTACAATTTATTAAAAGCTTCACAGATGTTCAAAAAGCTGCCGTGGCTATTAGTATATATATATATATATATATATATATATTTGAAAAAGTTAGACTGCAGCTAGAGTTAGTTGCCACCACACCTAGTCAGGACCAGTGGGAAAATGCAGATTTCAGCGGCAATTTTTAGAAAAAACTGTCAAAACATAGTTTACCCAAACTGATAAAACTGCGGTGCGGTGTCACACTGCCTCCCCAAACGGACCCTAAGTTAAATAAATTGAGCAAGCATTGAACGCTTTTCTTTTATCTCATGAAATGCATTTACTTAGTGCTTGAAATCACTCTTTTGTGATATTTTATGTTTTCTAATCATGTAATCCTTCTTTGCCACTTCATTTTGAAGGGTCATGCATCATCATGCTGTCGGCATTGT